ACGACTAGGGCTAAGGTTAAGAACTAGGGCTAAGGCAAATGACTAGGGCTAAGGCAAATGACTAGGGCTCCGTAAGGTAGCTATCTCTAGGAGAGTGATAAACGCTGAAACAATACTCGGCAGAGGGAAGGGATAAGGGTGAGTGTTATATAGTGAGGGAGTGATATGAAACAGCTGGGTGCAATCAGTGTAAACAGGTGTGTGCAATTCGTGCTGAGTGCAATCAGTGCGATGCATGATGGGAAATGTAGTCCGGGGTGATGTGCAACAGTGTGTAGTGCGAGAGTTAATGAATAGGAAAGTTCGTGGACCGGATTCGTGACACAGAACACCTGAACAAAAACAGTGATTTGAGCAGTGAGGGGATTCTATCTTAAAAGCTCATTCTAACTGATCCGCTGTTGCATTCAATAAATAAGCATATATGTCTGTAATAAGTAGGGCTGGGTTTTGACACACATTTCATGATTCGATTCGATTCTCATTCACAAGCTTGCGATTCGATTTGATTACCGATTCGATTCAATGTCGATTATTTTGGATATATATCAGGTACAGTACATGCAAAATTTTCTCAAGGAAAAAATAATCTCTCAACTAATGCTGTAAAATATACACGAGTCGTTTGTTACTACATTACTAAAATATTAAAGGTTAAAATTGACTGATTTGTTAAATTACACTTACTTGGCTGACTAATGAGTTTATGGTCACCGAATGTTTTATTCCGTTATATTGGACAGGATACATGAGACAGGATACAGATTGTAAAGTTGTACTCGTTCTTTTAACATACCTTCGGATGTTTAGTCATGTTTATTTTGTGCTATAACTAGTATTAAAGTGGAGGAGATGATCAGTTTATATGCACCTCGTGCTGCCGCTTTTAAATGAAAATCTACCCAGTTGCATTGTGGGAATATTCGGAAATTCCACTGCATCTTATATTCTTCTCTTGGTTTTATGTTTTGTTCTTTATGTGGTTTTCTCAATTTGAATAACAGAAAAATAGAATGAACTAAAAATGTTGATAAAATAGAAAACACAAAAGAACAAACCCCCAGCTAGCTAAGGTTATATACCAGTGTAGTACTCAGCTGATGTGCTGTTTGCAAAGGTGTGGGCTCTGAGTACCACTCAGTCTACGCCGCCACCATTCAGTTTTTGGTTCTAACTATATTGCTACTCTCTTAGTACCACAGCAATCAGATAAAACACTCAGAAGAGGAGAAGATGGCTTTGTAATCTGCACACAGTTTGTTGAACAACTTTGCACTAGTTGAAGGAAATAAAAACCTCTCTGGGTACAAATTACAACTAAACTTGCTATGTAGCACTTAAACTACATGTTTATATTCTACATCTACATAACAGTTATGATATTAATTGTTTGATTTATTGTCCCAAATTTTACATTAAACTTTTGATAGCAAAATTATAATTTTGTTTTTGATTATATGTATACAGTTGTATATAATGTATAGAAGTATATAACATTATAACCATATAATCAGAGCAGTGATCGTAATAAACTAAATCGTGCATATATCTAGCCAACTATAATTTTTTTAGCAAGCAGCTGTTCTTTGAATTGATCTTACCTGTAACCACACCTAACACTAAGAAAATATTTGTGAGAGGTCAAGAAGAGGATACTCTTATGTTTTGAGTACATTTATTGTATATACTTGTCCTTTTATACAGATTTGAGGACATTAGTCACCCTCTTTGAATGCACTGTGGCCTAACATGATTAGCTTACATACTGTAGCATGCATGATTACATAAAGATTGCTTAGTGATTATAAATTAGTTAACTGTTACCTAAACACCCCCAACACACACACACACACACACACACACACACACACACACACACACCTCACTCTCTGTTCCACTAGAAGTATATGCTCAATGTTTTACGTAATAGGCAAAAGTTTATGATTAGGATTGCACTCAAAGTTAAATAATAACTGGTGTGTGTTTATCAGTATCAATTAAAAGTAGATTGAGAGAGTTCAAGAAGGCGAATGGTTTACAATGAACCCACTGAACCATTCTTCCTGGGGATTTAGTACATAAGGCATCTCCTTGAATTAACATCCTGGCCTCAGGTTTGATCTTGCACTTGGATTACAGAGGATTCTTCACTGAACTTTCACCGCCCCAGAGCTTGTGAATGCTCTCCTGTTTTCATCTTCAGTCAATAATTAATGGTACCATTCACAGCCAGACTGCACCGTGCACATTTTGTGATCTGATGAGTCCTGGTCCTTTCAATGCAATCAACACATTTACAGGTGATTTTTGGTGATAATGGTGATCGAATATCTTTTAGCAGTATTACTATTAGTAGCAAAGTAATTTGTTTGATTAAAATTGTAGATCAGCAAGGTGGTAGCATTTCTTCTTTTTAAGTCGCATGTCATTTTTCAAGGCAAATGCGGCTTTACCGAGCTCAACGGCTCTGGCCCGAGCAGATATGAACAAAACGCTATTGGCTATTTTTAAAAAGGGGCGGGGCTGCTCGATATGTCCCACCCTGTCTTCCTGTTTCAGTCGAAATTACGTCACCACACAGAATAATGCTGTGTGTTTCAAAGCACTTAAGGGGACCTTTAAGCATATCAGGCAACAGCTTCCTTCATTTAATTTTCTTCATTCAAAGGAGATTTTTTTCCCCTCATGTTGTTCCTCATTGTTGTGCCTGTATTCAGACCAGTTCCCACTATAATCCTGGCTTCTTCTTTCTCAATGACTTTGAATGCCTCTCATTGCTTTCTGGGTTTGGTATTCTCATGTTTACACTTCTCATCTTTGGAGGGGTCACTTTCATCCAACTTTTTTTTAGGAATCAAATGAATGACATTGTGGTCTGACCGGCCAAGCGGAGGGTCGCATTCAGATCTATAAGCCCCTGGCACATTCCCATAGCACTGATCCAGGGTGTTACGGTGTCTGGTTGGGCATGTGACATATTGCTCCAGGTCCAAGAGATCAGTGATGTCACAATGGTTGAAATCACCCAACAGGAAAACAGGACTACCAGGATACTGCTCCAGAGCATCATAGTAAACACCAGCGATGTCAATGGCAGCTTGAGTAATATTAGGTCCTGGAGGGATATACACATGGATGAAGATAAGTGGTGGAGCACCCTCAGGGTGGTCATGTGGTATAATGGACACAACCATTAACTCATAATCTCGAGTAATCCTGATGTTTTCCACCTCCACATCAGTCGCCCAGGCCTCATTCACAAGCACTATCAATCCCCCTCCTCTACTTTTCTGAGTAATCCGTGCATCACGATCAACCCGGTAAGACGTATATCCCTCCAAGCTAATGCTGGGTGAGTTCCTATTCAACCATGTCTCTGTGAAGAACATCAGATCGGAATTAAAGTTTTCCACATCTTCCGTCATTTCTTGGAGCTCCTCTATTTTGTTTGGAAGAGAACGCACATTAGACATCATTATTTTAGGAAGGCGGAACTGAAATTGCTTTACTTTTGTTTTAGACTTTTGTGGTGGTTTCCTCTGAAAAGCAGTTTTCCTCTCCTGGTTAAGACCCCGGTCTTCAGTTGAAGTAGCCTTCTTCTTCTGTCTTTTGTTCTTGTTGTCACCTGATTTGTCTTTTCCTGTGGAACAATACTTAGTTTCTCCTATGTCTTTTGTGCATAGGAAAATAAACCTCTGTGTCTTCCTGTCCTGCTTTTGGGTCTGTTTATACTCCATACAAATGGTGCCTTGCGTGTATATTTGAGATCCAAACATCTCCTGAGCCAAATCAATGTGACACTCCATTTCAGGGATTTGATTGAGCATCTCTCTGAAAGATAAATTTAGAGGCAATTAAATCCAGCAGTGAGTCGTAAATACAAGATCTACTGTATTATTATTGTGTTATAGTAAGCAGTCTTACTCGTGTTGCTTACTCAATATACCATTTACATAAAATGTTCAGAGAAACACTTATGTACTTACTGCAATTCATTCAATGGCTTTTTAAATTGTTTCACAGTCTCAAATAACAAATAAATGTAAATGTAAAACAGTCAGACCTGAGGAAATCTGTGTTCCAAACAGCAAACTGAGTTTTCTGCTGTATATTATATAAGAGATGTCTTGTGTTCTTGAATTCTCTTGCTGGAGTCTTTTGCCACTGCATGGGATTTATATAAGTGTACTCCTGTTACGCAAGACGCATGTCAGCCAGTCAGAAAGGATCTGTGTGTTACAGGGATATCTCCAAGGTCTGCTCTCTTTCCAGAAAATCACATGACTCTCAGGAAAAAGGCCACAAGGGGTGGGGGGACAGATGACTTCCAACACGTGATCTGTGGATGACCAATGAATGTTGACTGCATGCATAGCTTATCTTATTTTAACATGAGAGGGCTATATATATTATTTTCATTTGGGCATGTTTTGCTGCCAGAGGAAGAATGCGTTCCTCCAGCTGATCATAATATTCTAAAGACAGCCATTATTCACCATCTGTGATCATGTAATTACAACTGTTACCAGTGTCTTCCTCTGATGCAGTACATTTCTAAGACAGACAATTGAAAAACTATTAAATGCTCAAAAGTCAAGAGGAACTACACAAAACACCAATCACCACAATGGTGACTTCAACTGTTTGTTCCTCTTTCATATAGTGATTTTACTTAATAACATCAGCTGTCATCGTCACTAATGCTCAATCATTCCTTAATAATCTCATGAACTCCAGCACTGCTTTGGTGTTATTTTAACACTCTGTAGTGTGGACACACATGAACACTGAGCACTGATATTCTAACTCAGGGAATTTTGAGATGTATCATTCAACCTTTAGCTGTTTTTAAACCAGAAAGTTAGTGATTCTTAACATTTAAAGGATATTCAATGAATCTTTTCTCCCAACATTATGAGAACATTCAACAAATACTAATGGCAATATGCGGTGAGTTCATGAACATTGTTTTGAAAGTGTTTAATTCTAACTCTTACTTAAATGTATATAACATTTAGGAGAAAAGTCAGGAACATGCCCACATTCCAAGGATGTTATTTAAAAAGCACACACTCACTCCTCTCACACACACACACACACACGTTTTATGGATGTTCTACGATTGCTAAATGTTTTCCCCCAACATTATGAGGACATTCTACAAACAATGTATAAATAATATTTATGTGCTAATTTTTTGAGAACATCATTGAAGAACAGAACACATTAAACACATGTGTTCTGTTAACGTTACTGAAAGAATGTTTGTTCAGAACTTTGAAAACCTTGGCAGAATGTTGGCAAAAGTTATGTGAATGTTCTCTGTTGTGATCCTTTCACTAACGTTCACAATTTATTATTATTATTATTGAAAATGTTTGTATTAACTAAATTAGAATCCATACAAAATGCACATATGATGGAATGACATTGTGTAATTAGGATATTAGGATATTGGAGAAATTAAACACTACAGATAAAAAGAGACAAAACTGACATATTTATTTATGGTGGTGGTTGATGGTATGGTGATGGTTTTCCTAAAAAGTAGCTATGCATAGTGCAATCATCATGTTTTCATCAGTTCTTTGAGTATTCTTATAAAAAAGATTACAATAAAACAACACTTGCGGGCAGTTTCCTGGAGATGCATATTCAATATTTCAAAATAACACCAATCTGGGAAGTTGCCAGTACAAAGAAAACATATGGCTAATTGCTACGCTGTAATGCTTATTTAAACTTTAATTATGTGTTCAAAAGCTTCTACAGCACATGCATGCAAAATATATAGCTATATAGTGGATCTATCCTGTGTGTCTCTGCTCTGCAGCAAGGATAGTCTTAAAAAAACCAGAAGCTATAAAACCCAACAGTCAAGAGCCCAACTAAAGCAAGCAACAAATGTTATTTTCAAAAAATCATCAACATCTAAACATCTGTTAATTCTTAATAAGAAATTCAGTAGATGTATCACAGAAATAAAGTCAAACTGGTTAGTAATGCTTGAAGCTGCAATGCTTTTGTTGTTGTTGTGAATAAAAGTGTTTCAACCCAATGAGTCTGAAAGAGAACAAAACGGATAAACTGGCACCAAATATAACTAAGAAAAGCAGGAGAAGCCACTGTACACAATGATTTTCATATAAAATAAACAAACTATTGACAAAGTTAGAAAAAGCGCAAACCTGTTATCTTGCTTTTGGAGGTGCACTGTGCGTCACATGTCTTATTTATAATAATGGATTCATAATGTTCCCATTATCCTCTTCATTGCAATCAATAAAATAGTTGATTTGCAAATTAGGTAATTGTGATAACTGCATTAAAATATGAGCACAACATTGATTCTTTAGTTTATTCTTTTAGTTAGTACTTGAGTGTGGAAGCCTGTTTCCGCCACTGTATAAAAAAAAATACCTGTTCACCGTTTCTTGTTTCTTGTTGGGGCCACAAGAGAAACATATTATGTAGTAGATTTGTCTCTCGTCGTCTCTGAGAGAATATGTGCCGTTAATGCGTGCGTCGTCAGATTTTACTTTCACTTTCATGGTGAAATCCTTTCCTATTAAAATATTTGATACGGATACGAAAACTCAGAAAATCAAATCTGATCTGATTTTTTTTTTAATATGACAGAGGCAAAGTTACAGAGGCAGTTACAGAGGCACAGAGGCAGTGTGTAAACGTGATTAGCTGCGTTTCCATTCACCTATTTTTATGCGCATTTTTGAATATCTAATAAAAAAACGCTGGATGTAAACGCTAAGATGCGCATAAATTCTAAAAATGTGCATAAAAAACTTATGTGCACATTTGAGTAGGATAAACTTTTTTTTAACTATGATGAAAACACATTTCCCGAATAAATTCCTCCATGCGCTTCGAAAAAGTCATGTGACTTTGCACTATGAGATAACTTGACTAACCAGTGGACCGATCTCGTTCACAGCATCTATATGTTGTTATGGTCATTCCCTATGAAATGCCTGAGCAAAGTCTGTCGTCAAAGTATTTCTGTATAAT